GCCACGAAAGCGCAAGCTCCCGAGCGCTTTGGAAAGAAGGAGAGAGCGGCGCGGCTGGCATTTTACACACGTTTTTAGGTGTCTGTCTACACTGGACGCACAAAGCGACCATTGCATATCATTTGAACTTTGTGTCAGTTCGTCATAAACGAGGCATCAGTTTACTGTCGGGGATTTGTCATGTCGAGCTGCATCCAGTGTAGTCAGTCACACAGCATCACTGATTAAAATGGGTTCTATAGTATTTTGTTGCGTTGTGCCGCTTGCATCCGGTGTAGACAGTGAGAGCCACGCAGATGCACGTGAACACCGAATTCCGTTCACTTCCGCGTCTATTTGTGCCTGAAATACTGCTCTGCAAGTATCCTTGTAAACACAGATGCTTATGGCTTGGGTGAAGGTAAACAATTGAGAAAGAAAATGGATGTGTAACAGTATATTGGTTCACAGCAGTTTAATGTCCCTGTTGCTTTCTGTGTCATGAACGTTAATCAAACAACAAAACACAAAGAAAATGCACTTTTGTAGCTTTAACACAGATTTATTAGATTTAATTTATACAGTGAAGGCTATGCAGTGTTATTTTACATTTGATTATTCTATTTCTGTACCTGAATACTGTTAGACTTACCTGAAAAAATATAAAGCACTGATTATTTAATTTGTATCTTTGTTCTGTTATTTATCTATGCTTGTAATTTGTTTATTTCCTATGCTGATTTACTCGCCTACAAAATCACACTGATTATTTTTTTTTCAAATAGAGCTATTGAAGTCATCTGATTTTTTTTCATATCGCAGAAAAAACAATATCGCAATGTGAGTTTTTTCCAATATCGTGCAGCCCTAATATAATATATTATATTATATTGTATTGTATTGTATTGTATTGTATTGTATTGTATTGTATTGTATTATATTTATTATATTATATTATATTATATTGTATTGTATTGTATTGTATTGTATTGTATTATATTTATTATTTGGTGTTGATATAAGCTATTTGTTGGCCTCACAAAATGATAGTCTCCCTGAACTGCTGATGTACTTCTGGCATTCTGATATGATTTCTCAGTGCTTTTTTGTCTAGCTGATCCTCTGATGTCATATCCTCCCTTGTGTGAATCATTCAGTTAAACATTTTGTAAATATGGTTGAACCCAATCGGCTGTCTCCAGTGATTAGCCAATGCATTTCCCTTGTCTTTTATCAGTGATCAGTGAGCTTTCTTCACTAGACTGTTGATCCGTCCTGAGGCATGAGCAGTGAGCTGCCATCAGTCAGTCTGATTGGGTCTAAATGGAGAGAAATGCCTGGATGTGAGAGTGGGCTGGAGAGATTGATTAGAGGAGACCTCTGGAAAAACATCTGGGGAAGTGAAATTAGCCCTGCTACAAGTGTGCAACGTGAGCTAAGTATAAACATACAGCGTTCACTGGAGAGTCATTAAGGCCTCTAGATTCTGAGGTCATGAGTGTGTAGATTAGAGCATGACTGACCGAACCAAGTGAGCAGCAATGTATTGTAGTGCAAACAGAGCTGTTTAAAGGGACTGTTCACCCAAAAAATTTAAATTGTATTCGTTTACTCACCTTTATATTGTTGCAGAACCATGCCGCCGTCTTTTTACAACGCAAAAGGAAACATTTTACTGAAATTGTTTAACGTCTGTATAGTTGATTTTTATTTTATTTTATTTATTTTTAATTTATTTTATTTCGTTTTGGTTATTTTAGTACTGTAGCAAATTATTTCACAGAATAACAGAAGAAAGTCATACGGTTTTTGAACAACACAAGGGTGAATAAACAATGACAGAACAGAATTGTCATTTTTGTGTGAATGATACCTTTTAAGTGCACTTTTTGCTTTATTATGTAGCCATGCACAAACATGCTTTGAGGTACAGCTGTCAGTTATAATACTAGTTATTTCACATTCTTCCACTCTTTCCAAACATAATAATGATCCATTGACCCAAGTACTGCTTGCTTGTGCCATCTAAACAGAGTTAATGTTAAAGTCCTACTGCAGTGCAATGAGTGCATATCCCGAGGCAGGTGAGAGTGTCCCTCCCAGGCTTGTTTCTCACGTGTGTTCACCTGTGTCCCTGATCCTCAGCTGATTAGCCCTGGGACTCCACACTGACGTCATGATCACCCAGCCAACCCCCACCCCACATGCAACCCGATGCCATTCTCTCAGGCAGGACTTAAAGGCTGCATCTTCCAGCCTGTCATTGATGGAGTGTGCACTCGCTCACCTGGGCTATAGCGGGTTGGAGAAAATGTATGGTGTTGGCTGTAAATTTAGCTGAACTTTAGGAGCTGAGAGCATATGACAGAAGTAGCAATCTTAAGAATAGCGTGAGTGGTAATTGGTGCCACTGAATGACCTGTCTGAACCTTTGTGTCTATAAATTAAAAACAAAGAAAAGCAACCATCAAACATGCGCAAGGTAAGGGATGCAAAGGATTGTGTTTGTGGTGTTAAGTAAAAAATGTGTGACTTAATGTACTGTGTAGCTTATATTGTAAAATGTATTTTATTCCTGTAATGACAAAACTGAATTTTCAGCAGCCATTTCTTCAGTCTAAAGTGTCACATGATTCCGAAATCATTCTAAAATGCTGATTTGATGCTCAAGAAACATTTCTTATTTTCAATGGTGAAAACAGTTGTGCTGCCTAGTATTTTTGTGGAAACTGTGGTGCAGTTATTTTCAGCATTCTTTGATGAAAACAGTGCAAAAGGACAGCATATATTTGAAATAAAAATATTTTGTACCATTATAATTAACTTTACTGTCACTTTTGATCAATTTAAAGCATACTTGCTGAATAAAAGTATTTAAAAAAAACAACTTTCTGACTCCAAACTTTTGAACGCTAGTGAATGACTGAGTGTGATTGTGAAACTTGTTTGGACCCTTTGTTTTCTTTTAGGGCAATTTTTTTTTCTTGTGTTTCCAGTGGTCACTGGTAGGATTGCATTTGGTTTGTTTTTTCGCTCTGCGTGTGTGTGTGTGTGTGTGTGTGTGTGTGTGTGTGTGTGTGTGTGTGTGTGTGTGTGTGTGTGTGTGTGTGTGAGCTAGTGACAAAACTGACGTTTGTTTGCTTTGAGGCTTTTTACTTTTGAGGCCTCGCGGTGTGGTTTTATGAGCGCTGCGTGTATGATACAAACAGTCCTTCCAGATGTTTCTGGAATTTTGTGACATTACAGAGAGGATGTGACCAGCACAGGGTTCCTGCCAGATTTCCATGGCAACGTCTGTTTCCCATCCTGACGAAGAACACAGGGAGTATGAATGAATCTGGAGGCGTCTTAAAAGAAATGTATTTGGCTCGCAGTTTGGGTCTATATTTCTTACCTCTTAAATTTGATTGTTCTGTTTTCCTGTCTTCACAATTTTAGTGTTGATGACAGCTTCACATTGCTGTTGTTTTTTTGTGGCTTGTTAATGTACTGATGGCAAAATACAGGCCAACAGAAAAACTGTTGTAGGTGTCTTGGTAGGTATGGGAATTTATAGACACCTCATGATTTTTTTCTTGACACATGTTTTTTCTTATTGATTGTTCTGCTGTGCAAAGGCAAAACATTGTTGAATTTTCTTTTATTATTATGTGTTGCCTTTGAAAATGAAACGCAATTAGTCTATTTCCTTTTTTGAATTAGAATATTACATAGACCTTTGCATTTAACTTAATTGTGCTTAAATGTGTAGAATACCCATAGATTGAATAAACTTAGCAACATTCACACCTAGATGGCTCTTGTTCACAAGATGCAAATTTGTCCATCTCAAATGGATAAGCAATCTAGTTATGTGCTTCTAATCCAATGAATTCTGAATTTCTGAGTTTCAGAATTGCTGAAGAATTGCGATGAATAGAATATGTCCCCCAGCTCAAGTCTTGGCAGCAAGTCATCACTTTCAGATTGGTTATTCGCAGTGTGACTCTTATGTGTGATGCAGTACTACAGTGTGGAACTAAGTGTTATAACTATACTGTATATCAGTGTCTTATTCAATTCACCTAATTCATATATTCCGAGTTTCAGTAGTCTTTTATGTGGCATTTGTTTATACAGTTGTGTGTACTTGTTTGTTAATGAAACAAGGAAAAAACTCCTAATCTCTAATCTATGTGTTTCAGCAGGAGCTGCCTGCGCCGCCTTCTCTGCTGATCAGGAAGCTGAGTAACCCCGACCTGTCTCCTGCTGCAGGAAAGACCAAACTGCAGTGGCAGCTCAGTCAGGATGACACCAGAGCCCGACGTAGCAGTATGGCTGGCATCCTCACTGGTGAGACACCACAAATTTGTATGCCCCCCTTCATTTGCTTTTTTGAAAAAATTCAAAAATTTGTGTAAATCCTGATGATCATGTTATGCAACATGATTTGAGAATGTTTTGAGAGCACCATGTGCTTCAATGGAAGCAAGAATATCTGACCTTCTGTGCAATTTTTTAATGTCACAAATTTGCTTTTATTTAATAAGTGATCTACATAGACTGCAGAAATTGGTTCACATTATATAAAAGCTGTCAGAGAGAATCTGTGGCTTGGCGTGGCTTGACTTGGCTTACAGACACATATACAAACAAGAAAAGACTATGTCCTAATTCTGTGTTTCCTCGGTGTGCCGCAGGAAAGCAGCTTCTGCCTCTGTCCAGCAGCATGCATGGTGGAGTGAGTCAGCTGGCCTGGCAGCAGCAGGCAGGAGAACCCAATAACTTGGTCCGCATGAGGAGTCAATCCTTTGGCCAGTCTGCCCCCTCTCTCACTGCGGGACTGGTGAGTGCATGTGCATCTGTTTCCATCCAACACAAGCAGATGGGTCCAAAATTACCCAAAATGCTAGTGAAAATCTGACAAATGCAAGTAAAAGTGATATTTATAAGGAACTGCAGCATAATACTTGGTGTAAATCAGTTTGTAAGAATGATAGTCTGACCATCAGTGTAAAAATTGCCATCATATGTTTGTCTAGCATACTTTGTTTTTTTTACTCCAGATCTCCATGTGATGACAAATGTGGTACATGTGGTAAAAATGTGTACATTAGTACCCATGTGGCAAACAACAAAAACTTCTAAATGTTAACTAAAACAACATTTAGAAAAATGTTAACAAAAAAAGTTATAAAATAATAACAAAACCTATTTGCCCAGGAAGCATTTCTCATTAACATTTAGTATAACTAAAATAAAAATGAATAAAAGCTATACAGACATTTAAAAACACAACAAAAAATACTAACATTTTAAATTAAAAGGAAAACAGAAAATATGAAAATGAAAACTAATTCAAACTATTAACAGGGTTCCCACGCTTCTTGAAAGTACTTGAATTTCAGACGTATGGATTCAACGCCTGGAAAGTACTTGAAAACAAACATAGGTCCTTGAAAGTGCTTGAATTAAATTTGAAATAAATGTTGTTTATGGCGCTATTTAAAAAATTGTCCTATATGTTCTGTCAAAGACCGAACAAGTGGCACTAATGATTGGGTATGGGGGTGGAGATGGGGGAGCGCGAAAAAAAAAAACGTGTGTGTGTTGACGCGCAGCCTAGAGACCTGAGCGGGACAGTTTTCTTAAGCCCGCTCCCGCTGAATTTCTGACCATTACCGCCCACTCCCGCAACGTGTGTGTCACGCCACCGCAAACATTCTTATTGTCTTATTGTATATATTGCATCAACGAAGTAATTTGAATATTACCAGTACTGACTTCAATGGATTTCATTAAATTCCTTTGAACACAACTGCTCAAAACGGTCTAAATTTATGAAACCTACACATTCAAAACATTACTGTGAAATGTTTAATGTCAATTTTAAGTGTAAGTGAAATGTTAAGTAATGTAAGGTCTTTCATGACACTACATATGCTGGGGTGTGAATTTGATAGGTGCTTGATATAAAATAAATGGTGCTTGAAAAAGTCCTTGAAAGTCCTTGAATCTGGTGTTCATGAAAGAGTGGGAACCCTGTATTAATAAAAACTACAAAAGTATTTCAATTATACTAAAATAACACTTGTGGCAAATGGTTAAAATTTAAGGACTGAATTTTAAATTACTGCCACTGATGCGACTGATGATGCATGAATAGGATATAGTAGCTCACAGATGTAAATTTACTCCTTATCAAGCACCTGTATCAAGATCTGTGTTGATCTTTTTTACTTTCATTTTGTATCTGAGTAAATGCAAAGGCAGATTAGCATTAGGTGTGTCTGGTCTTTGTTTGAGTTTATGGAGGTTTAGAAGTGAAGAAAGTACAGCAATGTAACCTTTATCTGATGAGTTCATTTTGTTGTGCAATCTAAAGCCTAGTGCCATAGCTACATCTGCTGTCCATGTGTAGTACTACAGCATTGAAAGTGGCGAAAAATAGTAAAACCCGACTGAAAATTTTTAGGAGCACAAGCAGAAAATTTAGGGGCACACCTTAAATCAGCCTGCAATGCAATCATTTTCACATATTTTCCCCATTTTAACGGTATTACTGACAAATACTTTGATAATAAATAGAGTTTACGCATAGAAATTACAATGAGCAGTATTCTTTTAATTTCAGAGGGATATGAAAAAAATATATATGTAGTGATTTTATAATTGTTATTTTATCATTTCAAAATATAAAGGAAAAGTAGCTATTAGGGATGCTCCGATCGATCGGCCGGAGATCGGTAGTGGCCGATAATCACATTTTATGACTCGATCGGTACTCACTACACTTGGCCGATCTCACGAAACGATCGCAATTTGATGACGTCAACGCGTGACTACATACATGATGCGTGGGGACATAAATGATTTGGTGCCGCAGTCATGTCATCACCGGTGTGGAAATGCTATGACGTTTCGAGAAAAAAAATAAATTTCACTCTTTGTCGTGTATGTTTTGCATGATGATATGATGAATAGATGGTTCATTTTTAACAGCAGATTCAGTGACGTTAGAGCTGATCTGCGCCTCACTGCACATGTCTGCGGCACGTTACGGCTCCACGGCTACCGGAGCTGATCGCGGCCGGTCTAGTCAGTGCTTGTGTTTATCAGCCAGCCGCAGCACGTTTCTGAAGCGGCTCTCTGTGCTGCTTGGCTAAAAATAGTCTTTTGTGAGTTGTCACGGCGTGGAGGACGGAACAAAACCTCGTCGGAGCCGTAAGGGATAACGGTAACATTAATACGCTGATCGTGGGCTGCTTTAAATGAACATTTATTTATAAAACAAAATATCTATTTTGGCCATATTAGCCTACTCAATAGCATTAAGGATTTACTCCTTTCAAACTTGATCTGGAATGTCACCGTTTCTGTCACTGCAACTTCCCGATCAGGCGAACAAACACACACACACGAAATCGTCTGCCTCATGAAAAAAATGTATTTAAAAAAAATGTAGTTAATATTTGCATCATTTATCATTTATTTTATCCACCCGCAAATAATCAGAATGCATTTTTTATTACCCGACCCGCGGATTATCCGCAGCACCCATGGATATAGGAAAAGCAAAATAAGTTTGCTGCCTAAATCAGACGGACTTAATGAAAATGCAAATTAATTCTCTGCCAGCAGGAGGTTCTTTAAAGCGGGAGAAACAGAGGTTTCCCCAGTAATGGCTGTACACAAAGCAGCGCTGAGCTCACAAACGCTGCTTTATCAGATATTACATGCAAG